TTTATATTTTTTGATTGCTGAATCATATTCCACTGTGTATATGTACCACATCTTTCAATCCAGTCATCTACTTGTGGGCATTTGGGTTGATTCCATGTCTTTTCTAATGTAAATAGAACAGCAGTAAATATGGGGGTGCAGGTATCTTTTTGAATCAGTGTTTTTGTGTCTTTTGGGTAGATACCTAGAGTGGGTTGCTGGGTCACATGGAAGCTCCATGTTTAGCAGTTTGAGGAGCCTCCAAACAGTTTTCCATAGTGGTTGTACTCGTTTGCATTCCCACCAGCAGTTCAGGAGAGTTCCTTTTTCTCCACATCCTCGCCAACATTTGTTGTTGTTTGAAGATGTGCCATTCTCACTGGGCTGAGGTGGTATCTCATTGTGGTTTTAATTTGCATCTCCCTTATTACAAGTGCTGTTGAACACAAAATGGAAGGCTTTTAAAGTATGTGTCATAAATTAACTGAGACTCTTTCCTACCCTAGCAATTGTGTCTTTCAGGTAACTGAGGTCATCTAAGCCCCTCAGTATCATATCCCCACACTTTGGGCCCTATTAGAATGAGATCATTGTCTCTTTCTTGTCAGTTTCCCGTAAGTCAAATTTACGTTGAAGCTTCATTGGCACTGGTTTCTAATATTTCTAGTTTTATAAATTCTAAATTAAGATAACATTCATTTACAATACTGTATATGACTCCAAAATATGGGATCCCACCTGTTCAGATGTATGTGACCACTTCACAGCCTCCACGCAAACACCCATAACCTCTGCCAAAGTCCACTGGGCTCCTGTGCTCTTTGCTCCCCTCAGTTTTACACTGTACTTCGTAGGACTGCTTTGGGGATGGTTTTCCTTTACTCTTTATTTTGTTTCTCTATGCTTCACATATGAGCAAAAGTCTGGCATTTCTCTTTCTCCTTCTGGCATAGTTTACTTATTTAAATACCAGTGGCATGATATCTGAGTCAAAAATAACTGTCCTAATTGAAATTTCAACTTTACTAATTCAGCTTTGAGGAAGCTTTTCTCATCTTATTTGAGTGGCAAAGATACATTTTTGCCATTTTATGTCAGATTTTATATAGCATCTGTAAGTGTTGACATCCAAATATTAAGGATATTCTGCCTCATTAGACTATACGTGATCAACAGAAACAGCCAAATCTGAGGGAAATATTTTGAGAGAAGCTCACAGTAAATGCCAAGGACAAATGTGAAAAATGTCTGTCATTTTTGATATAATACTTCTGGCAATAATTCCTTCCAGCAGCTGTCTTAAAAACCACAAAAGCGTTTGCCTTATAACCAGGTGGCCTCTTAATGTCATCTCCACAACGAATTGCCTTCTGACAAAGCTTCTACCTAAGCAGGACTTTTGGTTCTAGTAAGGTGAATCTATGTCCGGGACTTTTTCAAAACTTCCAGGTCTAGAAGAACTTTCAGTACAGACACAAAGAAAAATGTATAAATTACTTTAATTTGCAGCTGCTTGGTACTTTTATTCTTTTTTAAGAAGAATTGCCTAAAACATTAGGGAGAGAGATTTTTGTACAGTGGTCTAAAGCAGAGAAGCGACATTCACAGCACAGCATCACTGAGTAGGTCTCTAAGCTCCCTTCTTTGTAGGACTAAGGAGATGAGCAGAATCATCTGGAAAGAACTCAGCATGGTTAACTTTTGTCCAATGTTGGACTGTGGCTTCTGAAGTAGGAGGGCTCAAAAAAAAAAATCAATGAACAAAGGATTTCAAACTGAGTCCACCTATTCTATCACAAAATTTTATTTTGTTGTCTGAATGAAAAGACACTGTCCTGAGTCTCTTCTGAGCAGAGCCCAATGGCACAGTAATTTATTCAGTGTCATCACTAGAAACAAGCCAGACAGTTTCTGTGTAGTATCAAAGGAATACCATCCTGAAAATTTTCATAGTTCTCTTAAATCCAAGACAAATACTAACACCTAGCTACTTGATCTTTTGATTGCCTTCTTAATAGCTTATTCTACCAATGTTGAACTCATCCATTTTTACCAATTTGATCTCAGTGAAATGATGAATAAGCGATATGAGAATCTAGAATGAGCACAGACTGGATAGATGAACAATTCTCAGTTTTCAGTTTTGATCTTGGCTTCATGTACTAACTGTCAGAGCATGGTGGTGATGGTTTGGTGAGGTGTGGAGTTGTGTGGGTGTATGCATATTCATTCATGCATACATGTATATGCATACATGGGATAATTAACCTCTCCAAGACTCAGTTCCTTCATGGTAAAAACAGGCAAGTTAATACCTTTTAAAAAACTGGATGATTACGGGCCCTCCCTGTTGGTGCAGCAGGTTAAAGCACAGCACTAAGAAGCTAATGTCACTTCAGCCTGAGTTCACACCCTGCGCATCCTGGAGGTGACCCATATGGTGCAGCAGATCTCTCCTGACCCGCCCGCTGCTCCCCTCAGCAGTGCACTTCTTCAATCTGCCTGTTCTGCTCCCCACTCTGGTGAATCCTCTCCGCCCTTGCACCTCTGGCCTGTACCCCAGTTCTGTATGCATAAATAAATAAATCGTTTAAAAAATTGGATGATTACTATTTAAAATTGAAGTAGCATTGTTGTTAGTAGTTTCGAAGATAGACTCTTCCCTTTCACTGTAGTATCACACCCTCCACCAAAGTACCCACAGTCCTCCACTGTATTCCACTGTGCTCTGTGCTCCCCTCCTTCTTCCCTCTCTGGATGCCTCTGATCTATGGTCAGCTTTCAAGGTCTGGCTTTGAAGTTTGTCTACGACCCTTTGTTTGGTTTCTCTGTATTCCATGTCTAAGTGACATTCCATATTTATCTTTCCCCGTTAGACATATTTCACTTAGCATAATCCCTTCCAGTAGCCACAAATGGCAAGAGCTCATCTTTATTGATTGCTGAGTAGTATTCCAAGATGTGTATATGTACCACATCTTCTTGCGCCACTCATCTGTTTGGGGGCATTTAGGTTGTTTCCATAGCTTAGCTATTGTAAATAGTGCTACAGCAAACAGAAGTGCCAGTTTCCTTTTGAATTCAATGTTTTTGTGTTCTTCAGGTAGGTACCTGGGAATGGAATCGCGGGGCCATATGGCAGATCCATTTTTAATCTTTTCAGAAACTTCTGCACAGCTTTTTCCATAGTGGCTGGACCGGTCTACATTCTCACCAACAGTGTGATGGGGTTTCTTTTCCTCCACACCCTGATTAGCATTTATTTCTGGCATTTTTGATAGGGGGCATTCTCCCAGGTGTAAAGTGGTGTCATGGTTTTGATTGGCATTTCCCTGGTGGTAATTTATGATGAACATTTTTTCCATATGCCTGTAAGCCACTGCATGTCTTCATTAGAGAAATTCCTGTTAATAAATACCTTTTTAAAAAATCAGGATGCTGAAGAACAGAAAATACCTAGAATATTTTCTAATACCTAGAAAATACTCAATAAGTGCAGTGCTGTTACATATTTATTCAGAGTGGTAGAGGTTAGTACTATCAGTCTGGGCATATTTGATTTTGGTGACTTCTCTGGCACATAACCTTGAAAAAAAATTATGATTTATAAGCTGTAATTGTCAGTTCTTCCAGTGTTCATTGATAATTCTTTCTTCTGCCAGTCTTATCTATTGGTAATAACACGTGAACAATCAGATATTCTTTTTTTTTAATTCATTCTTATCCCTTTAGGTTTCTCCTCTATTTGTTCAACTGTAAGCCCTAATCACTATTAATTACTGTTGCTTAGCTTCAAAAATAATGCTTGACATTATAGATTCACTTTTAACATGCAAACAATAACCAACATAGTGACATTCCTACTGGCTTATATTTTACCACTTGGAATATTTTGTGATCACTAAGAGTAAGTAATAAACTCAGAATAAATCTTTGTCTTAAATTATAATTGTCCAATACTAATGTGTACTTACGCTTCTTCCTTGAATACAAAATTGTCACTGCCTCTATAGCTGAATCTGTTTTTTTTTTATTAATTGTAACTGAATGGAGCTTAATCAGTTTTAGCAAACATGTAAGTAATTCAAGCTTATTTACCAAATGTCATAGATTTTATTTATATAAGATTTATTCATAAAGAACTGGGGTACAGGCCAGAGGTGCAGGGGTAATGAAAGTACTCACCAGAGAAAGACTGGGGAAACAGAACAGTCATATCAATGAAGTACACTGCTGAGGGGAACAGTGGGCAAGACAGGAAGGTATGCCACGCCATGTGGGTCACCTCCCTGTTCGGGGATCGAACTTGTGCTGCAGTGGCTGCGACTAGCTTCACATTGCTGTGCTTTAACCCATTGCACCACCAGGGAGGGCCCATCATTGATTTTATACCACATTTATTAAATATAGACCATGCTCCAGACCCTAAAACAACACAAATGAAATAGGACTTTTGATTTCTGTGTACTGAGTGCCTCCTTTGCACCAACACATCCTGAAGATGCTGGCAATATGGTAAATTATGACGCCATCCCCAAGTTGCTCACAGTTAAAAGAGGCATCAGGGTCCATGCATGTGGATCAACTCGGGAACACAACAAGACCTTGTATAATTGAGGGCTACATAGTTTAGTGAAGACTGTTAGTCAGTATGAATTGAGTAAAACAAAGGTTCACCATACCTGTTATTGACAGGAAAGACCTGATGGGAGAAGCTGAACTTCTGGCCCTTGAAGAGTGGCCAAGATTTGTCCAGGCAGATATCAGCAGTAGGGTGTATTAGGTGAAAGAGTATGAACAAAATAAGCATGAGCTTGGTGATAGTAAAGCTAAAAGGCCAAAACCCTGGTGTCAGACATGTGGGGTAGATCTCAGTGAGCCCCTGAAGGTGTTTGAAGATGAGGCTGATGTTGGAGCTCAAAGTGTTTCCTACAAGTTGCCATCATTTCCTTCTCAGCTTATCCCTGACTGTGTCTTGGTTGCTTCTTTGTTTCCATGATAAAACGTATTCTCTCAATTAGGGGGAGCACGGGGTCATCGGATCTCAATGAGCAGGAACCTGGTCCTGGGACCCCAAGGAACTGCCGCAGCAATGGTGTGACTCCAGTCATGCAGAAGTCACCGGCTCCCAGCTCACGCAGTATGACGTCAGGCAGCAGTCGAGTGAGTACACAGATCTGAAAGGACACACAGCTCCGGGACTTGGCCCTGCCTCTTGTTGTGTTGTTCCAGTTCTGTCACTCAGAGCATGTTACTTACTCTGCTTAATGGTAGGTGCCTCCTTATCAGGCCTGAACTTCCCACTTCCCAAGTTCTTGGTAGCAGGTCTAAAGCATGGAGGAAGGGAAAGGAGCGGGTTTCACAGGCAACATTTGTAGATGGCTGGTTATGTGGCTTCATGATTTAAACCAAATAGAGTCTTTAGAAGCTTCTGCTTTTGAGCCTTCGTGTTACTGCTTAGGTTTTAGATTTGCCCAAACCGGTCTATGTAAAAATAAAATAAAATAAAATATGTAGAATCTTGAGATTTTTTTATACTTTTCTTTACTACTCTCTATTAAAATAAAGTATCAGCACATAATGAACTTGTATCATACAGTTCATTTTCTATAAAATGGAAGCCATTCTCTTGGATGAATGAACACCTACTAGACTTTTGTTAAGCAGGAAACACCAAACATATAACAAAGAGCTGTATTTAAGAAATCTGTATATATGAGCTGTAATTTTGACTCAGCCTCCTGTATGCTAGACCCTGGTCAAGCAAAGACTTCGAGGAAGTGAAAGAATTAGCCATCCAGGAGTCTGGCTTCAAGTGTTCCTCTAGGCAGGACAACTCAGCAGGTAACCGCAGGGAACACTGTTTTAGTTCCTCATGCTAATTTCCACCTTGATGGTGAGTGCCCTTGATCAACCAGTATCTAAAATATTTTCTAGATGTGCATATAATTTTTTACTGTGGTTGCATTGATTACAACAGTTTCAGTTTATAAGTTTCAGTTGTGTACCACTGAAAGTCAGCATATATATACACTTAAATGTCCCCAGAGAAACACTAACATCCAGACTAGGAGCTTGTCCAAGGAAGGGCAAGTCTGCCAGTGTGGCTGTTGTGAGTGATCAGAGAGAGAAGTGCTAGGAAATCAGTGCAGATATTTCAATAGGACCTTTTTATAAATGCTGATAGGTGCCTTGCTCGGCATGAAAATTTCATTCCTACAGTGATGTAACCAACCGTGTTTTGATCACCCAACCTGCTAGATGGAAAAAGTGACATGATCTTCTGTTAAAGGGGAGTGGAAGAGGCAATGGGGGGATTGGAGACAGAGGGTATTGCCAGGACAAACATGGGACCATAGTTCTAAGCCTTAGTGGACAGATAAAGTTTGTGTAAAACTGCATGTACATTTATCTTTTTTGGTAACCATACATTAGATGCTCATTAATTTTGTGAATGGAAAATTTAACACTTTTAGCCCTAATTAATAAACCTTTTTGTATAGATTTTTTAGATTGTTGATAGTACGTTTTAAGAGTTAGGTGGACTCCTGATGATGGTCTTCCAAACTTTCCTAGTGACTGATAACGCACCAGAGTGTTATATGCAAGTACATTTCTATGGAAGGATTTTAGAGTGAGTCACAGTCTGTTGGTATAATGCTTGCTTTCATTTCACTTTGTGAGAAGGAACGTGCCTTTGACAATTCCATGGATTTGCCTGCTGTGGAAAGCATGTCTGAGGACTTCACAAAGCGCCATCGCAGAAACACTTCTGGCACACCCTCCATAGCAGTGTCCAGGGCCTCCTTCTCCTCGGGTAGGTAATTACAACATGACTTTTCTGCCATAAAATATTAAATAAATCAAATGAAGTTGGCTGCCATGTGTAACATTAAAGTGGTGGTTTCCTGCCTTAGAAAATAATCCATTCTTTGGCCACCCACTGTATTTGGCCCAGACTTTTGGGACTGCTCAAACGTAGACCCAAGGGATGCCTTGAACCTCTTATGTTCCGGCAAAACCCATTTCTTAAGTGTCTACTCTTGGCAGCCATCACTATCAATTTTCAGAGTTATTCCAAAGGTTGAGAAAGGAGTGTGACAAACGTTATTGTTTCATTCTATATGAAAGCTCAAATATGTGGAGACTTCAGGGAAATGGTAGCTCCATTGATATGGGTGCTAAAGTTCCCTATATCTGGACAGAGTAATCATTTTATGGTTGAAATGAGGAGGTATTTGCAAACAGAATTAAGATGCTAAGAATGATTTCCTTGCATTTGTATGGTGCTTTCAATTATATCATGACTTGATCATCACAGCAACTCTTGTGACCCACAAAACCATTTTTTTAAAAGATTTATTTATTTGTGCATACAGAACTGGGTTGCAGGCCAGAGGCTCAGGGGCAGTGAGAGGCTTCACCAG